TATCCATTAGGGGAAACAGATATACAGGAGCTGCAAAGAAAGGTTTTAAGGTATGTATGGGGCTATGGGAGGGCATGGTTGAGCTGGGAGGTGGTTATGACACATGTACGTCTAGGGGGGCTAGGTCTCTTGGCTTTGGGGCCACGGGCGAAGGCTCTATATGTAAAGCAGCGATTCCTAAGGGAGGGTGGGGAGAGAGGAGTCAGGGTGGGTAGGATAATGGCAGATATTCGCAAATGGTGGAGTGGTAAAGGCTTAATTGAGTGTGAGGATATGTTACGTCTGTTATTAAAGTTGAAAAATGTTCAGAGCATTAGGGCGGGGCAGATGGTGCGGAGATGTTGGCATCGGGTACTAGTGCAAGGGGTATCTGCTTTTCCACTGTATAATCGGAAAGACATATGGGATGGGTTTTGCAAGCTTCAGCTGGCGCTGAGGGTTCGCGAATTAGTGTACAGATTTCTTATGGGTATTTTAGCTTCGAAATCAGTTTTAAGTAGGATGGTCTTGCTAAGAGATGCGCATTGTTTACATTGTGGTTCAGAAGAAACAGCATACCATGCTGTTTATTTTTGTGACGCTTTGGAAGACATTCGTACATGGTTGGGTAGGGTTTTAGGGTTTTTCAGTGGGAGATGTATCTCGACTCTACGTGCATTATCCTTGGATGTTAACGGAATGTCAAGCGAGGTAAGAAGGCAATCTTGTACGTGGTGGCGGACTTTCTATATATCTCATGGGGCATGAGGGAAACTGAGGGAGCAGTGCGGGTTAGGGCAATTGCGGCGGGTATTCATAGAACGGCTTGTAGGAATAGGATCCTTTACGGTGGGAGGTGGGGTTCTGCCTTCCCTGCAAGCTATAGGAGTATTACGGTACAGCGGTTATTGCAACTGAGGTGAGGGTAAGGCAGAGAGGGGCTGGACTTTCCGTGGGAACAACTTTGGTACGTTAGGATTTTTAGAGTGATAGGTTGAGCAGCTAAGTTGCGTGTCTGTAGTTACGGTATGTTTTCTGTGTTTGTGAATGCATGGTAGAGTTGAGATTGTAACTGAGATATTGTTTTTTTTTTCTCTACTTACTGGGCATTTTGTACAGCAAGCTGGGCAAATTGGGTTTGTCCGGTAAAATTTATAAGTACAGCCAAGGCAGGGTTTGTATATTTGTGTGTATTTGTAATAAAGAAAAGAAAAACAAAAAAAAAAATTTTTAATGTTTCCTCGGTAACGTAGAGATGTCCATGTGGGTCTTTCCCAGTGTTTACGTAGGTATGGTTTAGAAAGACACGTAAGCAAACACTATGACATATTTATTAGAAAACGTTTCGGTCCTGGGACCTTGATCACTTCTAACATACAGAGGTAGAAAGGCATTATATATATAGGCGGAGAGTGAGATGTGACGCACGTGACATAGTCATAGTGTTTGCTTACGTGTCTTTCTAAACCAACTTGTCGGTATTTATTACCAAGGTTTATACCATCTTGTCTGACGTAGGTATATTCATGATGTTGTGTCATACAAATTGTCATGCTAATGTCAGATTCGATTATTATATGTTTTTATTGCCTTGCTCGGGGTTAAGTTTAAACATTATAATTGGTCTGTAATCAACATCTTGTCCTTTTGGAAGCCTTTTGTAAAACGACCAACCCATGAGGTTTGTCGTTCATTTCTGATGGAATGGCACAGTGTAGCAGCTACTTATGGTTTCATCTAGTTACTTAGTCATCTATAGACTTGCATTTTAAGGTTTCAGGTTTTGATTTTAGATAATGTGTTGGTGTAATGGACACAGGTTTTTTTAAACAGGGGGGGGGGTACGTCAAAGTTTCCCACAGTTAACATTATGGATAACATTTTTGGGTGCTAATATTGATTGTACGTGTTGTTTCTGAACTTACAACTGATACCCTTGTGGTATCACCCTTCCTTTTGATTATAATAATAAATAATCATGATTCCATGTGTCAATACAGCGACCACCTCGAGGGTGGTAACCTAAACCTTTGTATTGATCGCGCAATTATAATTTGATTTTATACCTGTACTTTTGTCATGTGGGTTTTTTCAATATAATATGTTTATATTAATAACGCAACAGGACATATACCTGATGTTAAATGATGCTTATGTTACAGTTATAGGTAATATTTGTTTGATTTTTCGTGATTTTACATATAAGTATTGTTACCACTTATCATCGTCAATTATGTTTTTATTGCATTGTCAGTAATGGGCTGGATAGTGAGTTTTGGATAATTTGTGTTTTGTTTCTTTTAATTAGGGGTTGGTATGTTTTCCTCTTATAGTGAGGAGACTATCAATGTTTTTCTTTTTCCTTGCATAACCTACTTGTTAATTACCGATGTATTTCTCTTGTATGTATTGAATGTACACTGTTTTTTTAAACAAAATATAAAAAAAATCTGTATCTGTTGGTTTGGAGTGGAGACCATCGACTGTGATTTCACTCCAGAAATGACTGGATTTAGCGTACAATTTCTGCCATTTCCTGCCAGTTTTTTTTCCTTCCTGGCACTAAAAAACCTCTCCCTTTTGAGTGGCTGTGGCTACACAGGTTTCCCTATGGTCTGGATATTTTGTACCTTTTTGTACCCTTAGATGGTGTGCCTGGTAATATAAGTTATAGCACTGTCTTTCCTGTACTGAAGAGGGACACATTTCAGGGTGAAAAAGCTTATAGGAAGTGAGTTTGCATTTTCCTGTTGTCATATGGGCACGGCATTTTCTAGGGTGGTCAAAGTTGCACGTCCCATCTGTTTTTCCAGATATTCCATGCCTGCAGATACCAAGTGCATAGTATTTGCACAGGCTTGGTTTCTGTTTGCCTTGGGTTTTTGTGACTGTATTCCCTGTTGGTATATGTTTTCCTGTCTCATTCCTATCCTCACTAGTACTAACAATGGAGCTCTCACCAGTTGTTTCTGGTAATATATCCTCACTATTACTAGTGGAGTCTCCTTGTTTGCTATCTCCTGTGGTATTACTAGTTTGTAATATTGGTTTTATCTTGTCCTTGACTACAATTGTTTCCCCACTACAGCTCCTGTCTCTCTCGAGGCCACTAATATGCATTTCACCATGTATACAGTTACTGTCTACCAGGACAGCACCTCAAGCCCCACATTTACTGTCTACCGGGGGCAGCACTTCCAGCCTTACAGTTTCTGACTACATGGCCAGCACCAAGGGTGATACCATCCAGCCCAGACTTTTTATTTTCCCATCTGTTATAAAATGCTTCCAGGTTTTCTATGAAGGCTGCTTTGATGTTATCCTCTTTAATACCAATGTGATTTTAGTCCACAGATTGATCTCATTTGAGCATACCCAAAAACGCTTCCCTGATTTAATACTGCTTGTAGATAATTCTTGGATATCTGAACAGGGGGCGTGACACCAATTTTCACAAAGGCTGCATAAAATCCATGTGGAAGCTCGTTTGTTTGTTTGGTTGCAGACTACACAGGATTTCATGTGATTTTAATGGTTGATTTACTGTAATTCTACTAATAACCTCTTGAATATTCTACTAATAATCTCCTTAAAGTGAAGATCTGGTTATTTGTATTTCTATTTCTATATGTACTTGTATATTTGGACAAGCTTACCGCTCTAAGTTACTTCTTTAGTAGCTATTGTTTGTGTATTTGATAAGGGCGCCTAAAGCCCCGTCTGTTTATAGTCCGTTTTATTGTCTAACGAATCCGTCTAAAACCGGTCAAGGATTCGGAACCAGTCAGATCTGATCAGTGGATCACTTATTAAAACACATTTGGTCGGTGATTTGGGCTAACACATGAAGGAACTGTTATTATCTGGAGTTTATCTGGAGAGAGTTCCGGGGGTCAACGCCCCCGCGGCCCGGTCTGTGACCAGGCCTCCTTAGGTCAGTGTCCCAGGATGCGACCCACACCAGTCGACTAACACCCAGGTACCCATTTTACTGATGGGGAACATAGACAACAGGTGGAAAGAAACACGTCCAATGTTTCTACTCTGGCTGGGAAATTATTTAACCTAGTAATATGTGATTTGATTGATACAAAAGTATAACTTGCGTGTTGGAGAACCGATGATTGCTGGCAGCTTTTACAATGACGAACGGTCGAGACCTCAGCCCTTATTTACAGCCTGAAGGTTTATAGAGCACTGTATTTAGCTTTTATAGATTTTTTCCGTCTCCACCACAACAAAAGCTATGTTATCACTATAGTTGGCTGGTGAAGATTATTGGAGGAAAGTCGCTTTTACTGAAGTAATATTTACTTTTTGTTGTGTATATTGCAAACGCTGCTTAGTACAGGTTATATGAATTTCCACTGTATACATACTAACAACTATACACTGTTTATCATATTTCTACAAAACTGTACAATTTTCGTATTTCCTCGAGATTTTGCACCTCTTCGTATTTCAACAGTAATGTTTTACTCCCTGGTATCACTGATTATAAGTCAGGTACACTAGCAGACCTGAGTGGGAGGTTCTGACGACTGCTGGCAACTGTTTACAACATGAACCTGCCTCTTTGGGCCTAACACTTCAATTTTAAATTTCACCTTATCATTTATTATCCATATACTAGGGTACCACTGTGGTACACACTACAACACTATGTATAACACACTACTATCAGGGAGACTGTCTTTCCTCTGACAATCAACATAATTACCTAAATAAAATTGTTCCCTCTAGGAAGGTGTCATAATGCCTGCGAGGGGTTCTTGATCCAGGGAGAGGAGCTGTCTTCCCCTTCCTTGAATCGAACCTCATTGCTACCTATTCAACACACGCTGTATGAGCACTACGGGTTTAACGCTTTTCATGTATGATAATACTCATAATAATAAACACAATGTTTCTACACCAGCTTTGAAATGAGCTGAGGTAGGATTTTAACCTGTGAAACTGATCAGTGTAAAAAAGAAGTACAATGTTTTACCTGTGATTTCTCTAATAACTTTTCTTTTCAGGTCAGGAGGCGTTTCCAGCGTGTACAGATGCTTACACCTTGGTTGACCAGCTACTGGTGGGAGTAGTCTGTTCAGAGGTTGGATCTTTCGACAAAGTAGTATTGAACTCTGGAAAAGTTACCGGAAATATAAAAGCAACTACAAATGTAATTTATATTTCTCACACTGACGTAGCTTCGACAGTATCATTCTGTACTACGATAGACAACTCTGCTTCTGGTACATCTGGTCCACTCGACATCTGCATTCCTGAAATGACTATAGAATCTACGGATACAGGTAATTTTTGTTTCAATAATATCTGCAATATAATTTTCAGCCTAAGTAACAATAATTAAAGACTTTCATCTGTTAAACTTGACTTTAGATATTCATAATTAAAGAACAAAAAGGCACAGTACCGTGACTGGAAAAATACATGACTCTAGTCTCTTCCAACCATTTATCGATGCCCTTAATAATCTTGCCCATTCTGAATGGGAATCTAAATCTTTGCGTCCTTTCCTTGATGTTCATGTTGGCCGCTAGGAAAGAGGTTTTGCTTCATTCGTGTACCGCATACACAGTGGCATGCACATTCACTACTTTTCTTATCATGCTTCCTCTGTCAAGAAAACTATTCTTATATATCTCTCCGTGCTCTCCGCATTTGTGATCCTCAGTTCCTTGAATCAGAAATTTCCACTCTTCGTAATTCATTTTCCCGTCTTGGCTACCCCTCCCATTTCATACTCTGCCTTCTCACATGCTAAACGGACTTTCTTCTCTCCCAAACTCTCTACTCCTGTAAACTCTCCTGTCCTCTGCCTTCCCTACATTTCCAGTCTTTCTAATCTCAACAACTCTCTCCGTCAAAGTTACATTTCGCCAGACTAACACTCTTCGCACTAATCTCGTTCATACCTCTCCTTCCTCTATAGATGTTCCTGGTGTCTACTCTATTTCTTGCTCCTCCTGTCCTCTTCAGTACTTAGGAGAAACTGGCTGATCTCTTTCTGACAGACTTAAGGAGCACAAAAGTAGTGTTAGGCTTGCCGACACCAACACTGCTCTTTTCTGTCATGTCAGAGATCACAGTCATCCTATTGACTGGTCTTCTGCTAAAACGGTCTAACCTACTGCTAACTTTCACAGTCGCCGTCTGGTTGAATCTCCTTTATACACAACTTCCTTGTATGAATCTTAGTCGTGGCTTTGTCTCTGTAGATGCCTTCCTTTCCCATTACATTGTAAAATGCTCCAAACTTCAGAACACCCGTGACTTAACCATTCTTTTTTCTCCTTCTCTTTCTACCTTTTCCCCTTTCCTTTATCTTTGGATTTTTTTTCTGCTTTGGGTATTTGATCCCTTACTCTTCCGTCCCCCTCGTTTGTTTTTGTTCCTACCCCTTGTGGGACCCTAGCTCTCCTGCAATGCTCCACTGTCTTGGCCATTGACTGACTCCAGTACTACTACTGCTACTACTACTGTAACTACCTCTGCTTCCTGTCCTACTACCTCTTGTCCCGTCCCTGTCAGATGGCCTATGTATACTGCCTTCTCTCCTTTTTGTTAGTTTGACTTTGTAAATGGTCCAAGTCGAACCGAAACGTCGTCGTAAGCTCCTCCTGTCTCGTATGTGCGAGCTATTTGTGAATATTCGTAAGTTATCGAATAAATGCGACCACTCTACTGTTATTCAAATTTTATACTTTTTATTCTTTCATATATTTTCTGCATAAAATATAAAAGTCAAGTTTTAATTAAAAATATTTTCAATAATGAGGCCATTATTTTACGAATATGAGTTTAAAGAGGGGGGGGGATGTATTTTCAGACAGTAATAGTGATATTTACAACAATGCCAGTAGCAGTGTAAATAACAAAAAAAGTGACAAATGATCACTAATCCAGTGGGATACAATATTATATTGAGTTAGAAGAATAAGGATACAGTTATAATACTTAATAGCAACGGTAGTAATATTATAGATATAAAAATAATAATAATGATGATAATAATAATAATAACTGTATATCAAATATTATTGTAAGAAATTAATAAAACTTAAAAAAAATAGATATGGAATGAAAAACAATTGGTGCCATGTGAAATTTGTCAGATACCTGAAAAAGGAAAATTAATCACCGTTAAAACTTTCGTAATGAATATCCGCTACTGTGTCAACTCCTCAAACTGAATAAAATGAACTGAATAGGAGAATTAATTAATTTTGAATTGTGAAAGTAAATAACCCAGAAAAAAAAATAATTCAGAAGAATGAACCATGGGTGAAAAATCCATTAAAAAAAAGGATACGTTAAAAAGCCATAAAAACTGTGTTAATGAAGCTGATAAAGTTTTAACTGGCCACTAGGACATGACAGACATGAGTTGGTAAGATGAGAGATTAAGTCTAAGGACTGAATAATAATTTCATATTGTATATAAGCTAGGTGAACAGTTTGGGTTCGAAAATATTCATTGACCTTATAAGTTGGAGTAAATGATATTAAAAAAAGTGTGTATTACTTTATTGCTCACAATTATTGTCCCACACAGTGTATAACTTTATTACAGTGTCCCACACAGTGTATAACTTTATTACAGTGTCCCACACAGTGTATAACTTTATTACAGTGTCCCACACAGTGTATAACTTTATTACAGTGTCCCACACAGTGTATAACTTTATTACAGTGTCCAACACAGTGTATACCTTAATTACAGTGTTTCTACAAGTGATAACTTTATTTACGGTGATCAAACAAGTTTTGTTGGTATAACTTTTATTACAGTCGGTCCACACAGTGGAATAACTTTTATAACAGTGTCCCACACAGTGTATAACTTTATTACAGTGTCCCACACAGTGTATAACTTTATTACAGTGTCCCACACAGTGTATAACTTTATTACTCATAATGGTTGTCCAACACTGATACAAGTGTTGTGAGTAATAAAGTTATAACTTTGGGAACTCTGTGGGTAATAAAGGTATACATTACATCTTAATGTTACCTCGTCTACCCTATCAGTATGTATATAACATTGCAGTTCTAATTCATTAATCAAACTATTATTGACTGTAATTGTACAGTGAAGCTCAAGAGTTAGGAGAGAAACAGAGAACAGAGATTATTTATTAATGTTGTCTGCTTCTTCTTCTTTCTTCTTCTTCTTCTTCATCTTTTTTTATTATTATTATTATTATTATTATTATTATTATATTATTATTATTATTTTATTATTATCATTATTATTATTAATTAATTTTTATTATTATTATTATTTTTATTATTATTATTATTATTAATATTATTAAGTTTTGTTGTTTACACTCAATCAGTTGTTCGCTTTCTCCCGGCGAGAGAGAAAGGGACGAGAGGAGAGAGAAGGGAGATGAGGGAGAGAGGGAGAGAGAGAGAAAGAGAGGAATGGGAGATGAGAGAGCGAGAGGAAGAGAGAGAGAGAGGAGAGGAGAGGAGAGAGAGGAGGAGAGAGGGCAGGGGGAGGGGTGAGAGAGAGAGAGAGAGAGAGATGAATGGGGAGAGGGTTGGGACGTGGGGAGGGAGTGGGAGGGGTTCGGTTAGTTTCAATATATACATAATTCATAATAACCAAGATAAAGTCACAAGACCGTTTCCAATAACTAATTTTACTGATCTAACACTACTAATGTTTATGAACATTGTGATGATTAAATATTTCAACTTGTTAATTTCACAGACTTCGATACAACGGCATCAGAGATTAAACATTACATGACAGCGGTGCTGCGAACCTAACAGTCACATTCTCCTGGCACTGGCACCCTATGGCACCTATGACCTGGTTTGATGAAAGGCGATTCAATAGAAACGTGATACGGTTGAACCGGAGCCTACAAATATGCCCACGACTAATAGTGTATTACAACAAGGGGAGATGGAGAATTATTTTTTGTTGCAGTTTATAAAAAGATGATAACTCATTAACAAAAGCAGATGTGACCATCACAGGTAAGACTGTAGAGTATTTATAACATAATTGTAATAAAATATTACATCATCAACAATACATATGCTCATAGTTATGCTACTGACTGGATTGGCAAGATATTAGTGTTATCATGAAATCGATTGTGTTTACCGAATTCAAATTTTAAAGTTGTTTATTCTAGGAATGTTTTGCAAGTGTCCAGAGCGAACACTACTCTGTTCTCAGTCAGTGCTTTGATACACAATAAAGTTTCTCATAAACTTTAAAATATGTAGGGATAGTGAGCCTCGTTATTTAAAGGGGGGGGGGGGGGAATCCTATGATCCTTTTTTTTAAAAATAGGGTACAAAAAGCAAAACTCTTAAACCTCCGCACGTTTTAACTTTGGGGATCAAATTGACATTTTCCCTTTTTCTGACAAGCGGTATTATAAATTTATTTTATATATATAATATATATATATATATATATATATAATTAATTAAAAATATAATATATATATTATATTTATATATATTCCCGTGCGGAATATGTAAAACTGGTTTTAGCAAGAATCATTTAAAATTAAGGCCTTTCTGAAATTTTTTTTTTTTTACGTTTAAAGATACATTTTTTTTTAATTTTAAATGTTAAAAAAATTAAATTTTGCACCAAAAAAATCTTAGAAAATTCCCAAACCCTTATTATAATAAGAAAAATTAATTTTGCCTAACCCAACAAATATATTTTAGATTTGTTTACAATAATTTAATACTAAAAAAACATAGTGAAATTTTTTTTTTCGTTGGGTTTAAAATGATTTTGGCGAATTATTGTATACACAAATTTTCGCTTGTTATTGGCAAGATGAACGTTGCTTTTTAACCCCAAAATCGCAAGTTCTACCTTTCGGACGCCAAACACAACACACACCACACCCCCATTATTATTATTATATATTATATATATATTATATATAATTATATATATATATATATTATAAATATTTTAACATATATTGGCAGAACTTGAAAACCACCAAAAGCCAATAATAACCAAAAAAAGCGCAGAAAAAATAATCCAAATTTTCCCTCCCTGGCAACACACTTCCCCACTTCATAGATCTAAATTACTCCCTTTTCGAACACCCACCTTTACTGTGCTTTCTTTCTACAGGACCTTAAATTTCCCAAAATTTAAACCTTGACCTAAAACGCTTTCTTGATATTGTGACAGGACCCACAGGTAAAACACCAGATACAAACATCTCTATGCATTCCCCGTGTTCGACTAAACCTTTAAAAAAATTTAATGTATTTAAAGGCCCTAAAAATTGGGAACACCCTACCTGAAAACTCTAGAACTCCCCGGAACTTCATCACTTTCAAAACTACAGTTAGAAAACTCTTATCCCCCTGATCCACCCGGGAAAACTAACTACATGAAACCGGGTGGTTCAAAATTACACTCACTCACCCATGACTATAAACCCGAAATACTAATTTAATTTTAAAAAAATAAAAACCAACTAGTATAAGTTGCCCTTTATATCCAATAAGACACTTTTATTTGGTAAAAAAAAGCTTCCATTTCTAACCCAAATTTTGATGTAGTCATTAGCCTTTAAACCATAATTTTTTAGGATTTAATGTTAAGAATTTAAAAAGTCTGCTCGAAATGCTTAGCCATGCTAGGTGTCCTAGTAGCCCTTTGTAATTGTATTTTTTACCACACAATACCCAAACCTGTAAACCCCCCTTGTAACCTTATAGAGAATAAACTTGAATTGAAATAGCAACGCTCATCTTGCCAAATTTGGACAAGTGAAATTTTGGGATGCAATAATTTTGCCCCCAAAACACTTGAACCTAACGAAAAAAATTATTTCGTTTTTTTGTTTTTGTATTAAATTATTGTAAGTATCTAAAATATATTTGTTGGGTTAGGCTAAAAAAAAATGCTTAAATAACAAAAAAATAACAATACCCTGCTGGGAAAGATACACAAAAACCCCCAATGAAGAGGGAGCTTACGCGACGTTTCGGTCCGATTGGCATTTACAAATCCACTGACTTTGTAAATGGTCCAAATCGGACCGAAACGTTTGGTAAACTCCTCTCTTTTATGTGCGGGGGGTTTTTTGTGTTAAAATTTGCTTGTTTTAATAAGGTTAGGTAAGTTTTCTAAATTCTTTTGGTTTCAAAAATTTTAAAATTTTTTTTCATTAACATTTAAAGAAAAAAATATATCTTTAAACGTTAAAAGAAAAATTTTCGAAAAAGGCTTTAAATTTAAATGGTTTTTTGTAATTGACAGTTTTTCTTTTGGGGCGATATATTATATTATATATATTATATATTATATTATATATTATATATTATATATTTATATATATATATATATTATGCAAATAAGATCACATAAACAGGGTTTTCAGAATTGCAAAACAACCACTCTGAAAGAATAGAGAAATTTCCCAAACACTTTCGGACTACTCACATAGTTCCTTGATATGTGAGTAGTCAGAAAGCGCTTGAATTTTTTCTATTTTTCAGGGTGGTTGTTTTTTCATATAATTTTATATAATATTTATATATATTATTTTATTTATATATATATATTTTTTTTTTATTTAATGCATATATATAAATTTTCATATATATATATGCAAGGATTTCGCAAGAGCAGGATATATATAATATATTATATATATAATTTATATATTTTTATATTTATATATATATTATATATATATTATTATTTTATTAATATTGTCGTGCCCAATAGGCAGAACTTGCGACTTGGTTAAATAGCAAACTCATCTTGCCATATAGGGAAAGTGAAAATTTGTGTATGCAATAATTTCGCCAAAAAAATTTGAACCCAACGAAAAAAATATATTTGGTTGTGTTTTTTGTATTAAATTTTTGTAAACGTATTTAAAATATATTTAGTTGGGTTAGGCTCAAAAATTACACTTGTTATAATTTAAAGGGTTTGGTAAGTTTTCTAAGATTTTTTTGGCCAAAATTATAAATTTTTACATTACTTTATGAAAAAATATATCTTTAAACGTATAAGAGAAAAAATTTTAGAAAGGATTAATTTTTTAATTTGGTTTTGCTAATTTACCAGTTTTCTATTCGGCACGACATTTTTTATATACATGTATATATATATAATTATTATTTTATTTTTATATATATATAATTAAATATTATATATTTTATATATATTTATATATATATATTATTATATTATATATATATTATATAAATATTGGTCGTCGTCACGTGAGGTCACAGACCTGAGCCTTTTGGGGATTTGTGTGACGGTTACAAACATGGCTTGCTTCTGCAGTGTTTTAAAATTGAGATTCTAGAGTTGAAGGAGGAGGTCTTGTTTCCAGGAGGAGATTTGGAGGCTGAAGGTCCACCTCAATGGGTCTGGGGAGGTGGAGGGCTGGAGTTGTGGGGAATTTGGGGGTTTAAGTGGGTGCGTCTGTCTTCGCTGTGAGGAGGCTTTTGTTGGGAGGTAGCAAAGGCTACCAGCAGTGAGGGCAGTCCCCGACTGCTACAAGTGGCGAGTGGTTCCGAATGGAAGGCGCATCGAGTAAGGAAAATTAAGAGTGAAGATCTGAAAGGGAGGAAATCGCTTCTTGTTTTCAGGATGAATGTACTTTAGTGGCCCGGAGGTAAAAGGGGACTCTGCCCCTGCTAAGGAGGTAAGGGGCCCCTTCTTTTGGTTGGTGACTCTCAGGTAAAATATATTGCCCGTGTTTTTTGTAATAGGAATAAGAAGATGAGAGTAGAGTGTGCTTCCCTGGAGCTGGTGTTGGGGACTTTGGGTCAACAGGCTGGATAATTCATGTCAGGTAATGGGAACAAGCCATTTCTGTCTCGGGTGCTGGTGGAAATGATTTTGGGGGAAGGGTAGGAGAGAAGAGCTGCTAGTTTAAGTACAGGTCAGCTTTTAGATTTCATTAAGTCTAAGGGAGGGACCCCAAATTTCATATGTAGCATCTTGCTAGAAGGGGAGTAGGAATGAATGGCTGTCTAGGGCAATTGGTGTAAATTGCTGGCTAGACAGATACTGCAAGGAACTTGCAATCCCATTCATTGACAACTGGAACAACTTTTATGGCAACATGATATGTATGCAAGGGATGGGGTACATCTCTCTGGGTGGGGTGGTAGCACTTGCAAGACTCGATTGAGAAGGCCATTTGGTTTAAATGCCTATGATTTTAAACTGATGGAAGATAGAGGTATGGGTGTGTGTGGGAAACAAGCAGGGTTGCAAACACTTGGGTTGGAAACAGTAAATGTATAAAAGGCATTCATCTGAAGTTATAAATAAAGACAATAGATCAGGTCAGCAAACAAAGGGGACAGCAGAGGGCCAGCAAGGGACTGCTCCCTTTAAGGTTTATTACTAATAGCAGGAGTGTAAGAAATAAGATAGATGAGCTAAGATTAATTGCAAGTGCAGGAAACATAGATATTATTGCTATAACAGAGACCTGGTCAATCTGAAAGATAGAGAGATGCCCTCTGAATGTCACATACAAGGCTATAAATTTTTCCCACACTGACGGGTAAACCAGGGAAAGGTTGTGGAGTAGCGATGTATGTCAGGGGACAATTTAAATTGTTGTGTTAGACAAGATATTAAATTAGAAGCGTCAGCACTAAATCTGTTTGGTTACAGCTTCTCGAGGGCCGAGAAAAACTAATTTTGGGTGTGATTTACAGGGCCCCAAATCTTGATAGGGAGTGCAGTAAACTTTATGGGACGAAATTCGTAAGGCTTTCTACATACAAAAATGTTGTGCTAATGGGAGATTTCAACTATAGACAGATTGACTGGAGAAATTTTGGGACAGGAAATTTAGAGTAAAGGTGACTTTCTTGATACGATCCAGGATTGTTTTTTAAAAACAGTTTGGGGACAGAGCCAACTAGGGAAAAAACCTCCTTGACTTGGTTCTTGCCAGTAGGGAAACACTAATTATTAATCTTGAGGTTAATGATGAGCTTGG